TTTCTTGATGTTGAGCTTCAATCCATATTGAAGGCTGCAGTCCTTGACCTTTGGCAGCAAGTGCTTCAGGTCTTCCTCAGTTTCAGCAAGCAGGGTTGTCATCTGTATAATATAGACTGTTGATGAATTTTCCTCCAATCTTGATGCCACATTTCTCCCCATAGAGCTCAGTCTCCTGGATAATCTGTTCTGCGTATAGATTGAAATGGTATGGAGATAGGACACATCCCTGGTTCACACCCTTCTCAATTTTGTTCCTTTGCTCTGTTCTAATGACAGCATCCTGATTTAAGTATAGGTTTCACATAAGCACTATCAAGTGTTCTGGGATTCCCATTCTTCTCACAGTCAGTTTTGTTGTGATCTACAAAGTCAAATGTCTTTGCATAGTTAATGAAACACAAATAGATATTCCTCTGGTACTTCCTGCTTTCAGCCAAGATCCATCTAACATTATAATATCCCTAGTACCACGACCTTTTCTAAACCTAAACTGCACTTTAGGAAGTTCTCTGTTGATGTCCTTTTCCATGTTATAGAATATTTTTCAAAATTGTTGCAATCAATGTTGAAGAGAAAATGGAGAGACTGAAACTTCATACACTGTTGGTATTGTAAAATGGTATAACTACGCTGGCAGGCAATTTGCCAATTCCTCAAAAAAATGGACATATAAATTCCATATGAACTAGCTAATCCCTCTGCTAGGAATATACCCCAAGGAAAATGGAACTGAGACAAAAATGGAGATGTGAACACCAATGTTCATAGCAGCATTATTCACAATAGCAAGAAAATGGAAATAGCTTAAGTATCCATCAACAAACACACGGATTTAGAAATTGTGGCACATTCACATGATGGAATACTATGCAGTACTCAGGAGCAACGATTTAGAAAAATAATTTTATAAGAATGCAAGTCATATATTCCTCTATGTTGTTGTTATTAGGGGTTGCTGAGCCGACTTTGGCTCTTAATAATCCTATGAACAACACACTTGAACCTTGCCCTATCTTATGCCATCCTCATGATCTGTTTATACCATATAATATTACAAAAAATTGTAATTCTGCTGCTAAATGTAAACCATGAATGCCAAAGAAGCACGTTGTGCTGTTTTAGTGGTTCTTATTCACATCTACGTAGAGATCATACGATGATAGCTTCTATTATTAGCAAAATTTCAAAGTATCATTTAATAAAGATGAAAACGACTATCTTTTAAAAATTGCTACTTTTGATATGATCTAAAACTAAGCCATAATTATTGCAACCTAGTAGGCCTTTATATTTTTATTGCAGTGGTAAGTAAAAACTTCCCTGGGAATAAAGTGTTCATCCAAGTAAAGCAAATTAATTTTTTTCAGGCACCTGAAACTTTACAACTGGGGATAACTAACTACTCCAAAAGAATAAAATAGTTCCCTAGACTATCTTCAAGTGCTAATTTACCTAACATAAATGAGCACTTTATTTCTACATAATGTTTTACTTGCCTAGGAGCACCACAGGATTAGATTGTAAATATTTCTACATTATATCTTCAGTATTTTAAAATAACTATTTATTCTTCATATAATCTCTATAAAATATGCTTCATTTGATAATATATAAAGTTTGTGGCAATTTTACTAAGTTATAACCAAAGATACCACGGACTTTCATTTCAAATTGAGTACCAAGCTTATTGCAAGGTTTCCGTACTCTAGTTGCTTGATGAAAAATGCATATATGAGTGCATGTGTGTGTATGCATGACCAGTTTTTACCTTTCTTACTAGCTTCTGAAAATGGAATAATGTATATCATTATTCCAGAAGTTCTCAGAAAGAAAAGACTATATAAGTCAATCTCAATTTGCTGATGGAACAATTAATACCCTGGACTGCAAACGGGCAACAGACAATACTAAAATTGTAAACTGTGTATGTTTTTGTTTTGTACTGTAGAGTTGGAACTGACACATAGCTGACCCTCTGGTGGGTTTTCTGAGGCAGTTAATTGCACGAAAGTAGACGGCCCACCCTTCTCCTGCAAAGCAGCTGGTGGCTTCATACTGTGTGCCTTAGGGATTGTAGCGCAGTTTCTTGCCACACTAACATTAAAATCTGTTATAGATTCCTAAGCCACTTCTTTATCTACATATCTGCCTACTAATTAGAGCTGTTACGTAAAAAAGTTAGATTAGAATAGGAAAAAAGTTTGGTAATAGTAGGTTTTATGTTGACTACAAGGGATATAGCAACTTCAAATATTTAATGGAAATAGGAAGTGTATAAAAACATTTCATTCACTGAAGAGAAAATGAGAAGTTTGCTTTTAAAGAAAATGCTTTAAAGCCACAGGAAGGATTACTGAAATAAACCACCCACAGTTGCAGTGGTCTTAAACCATGTGAAGGCTCTGAACATGTGCAGCCTGAGTGATAGGGTGTGAAGGAAAAGCAGAGCAGTCTGTGTACCTCAGACAGGAGTCGGGTCCTTTCAGTAACACCGCCATTTCCCTGCTGGTATCGCTCCCTTGCCTGAGGGGGAAAACATTTTAATGATAAATTCTAAATAGAAGCAGGAGATTACTCAAATATGACCTCTCTGTGTTTGTAATTTCTGCATATTATTTTATGACAACCCCCGCTCGTTTGTGAATACATTTAGGAAAGTGACATTTAACCACAGCAATTTTATGTCTCTAATAGGCATCATGTACTTAACTAAAGCACTATAACATGATGAATTACCTTAACCTTCATATACTGACTATGTAACTCAAGTAGGCATGGTTCACAATAAAAACTGTCTTCAGCTATTCCTAAATAGTTTAGGAGAGTGCCTTTCGGTCAATTTAATTTGCATACTATCCAGAAAAAACCAGTTCTAAAAATCAATCAAAGTGGAGGACCAGGCACAGCAATTAATAAAGATTAACAAACAGTATGACAGTACAATCAACTGCAATATGTTCTTGGGAACTAATCTAACAATCAATTATTTAATATTCCTGTTTGACAGATACACGGTACTTTAGTCAGAGAATTTTATGGCAATTTTTAAAAGTAAACACATCTGTGAATGTGTGTACAAGGGAATAATTAATTATGTGAATCATACAAAATAAAGACTATTCTTTATCTGGTCTTTAACTAAGACTTTCTTAAAGTAGAAAAGTATCTCAAATATAGTTCCACAGTTTTCCTTCTCTTAAACTGTCTATGCCTTCAACCAATATTTACACGTGTTCTAAAGACAAGCCTAACTCAGCATCACAAAACAGGCAGCTTAACACTCAGAGGATGGCCTTAGATCCCTACTACAGTAACAAGTTACTTTGGCTTCCAAACACTGAGTGTATGTTTAGAAGTGGGGGTGTTAGACTTCTAAAACTTTGGAAGGACTACATTTCTTTTACTGGTTTAATTAATTAGACTGCTATCTCTGAACATGTCTTGCGTCTTACTTTTTATTATATGTTGTACGCCATTTATGGCAAAGGATGTCTTTCCCGGTCAGCACATGTACACTATTCCTCCTCCTCCTCATTATGAGGTAGCCTGACATTCTGTTCCTGTTTTAAGGCAAGTTCACCAACAATATATATGCTCTTTTATTTGAGTCAAATGAAGAATTGCTTTTTAACAAGACTTCTAAGATAATTTCCATCATCTGTTAAGTGGAGAAGGCATGTTTCATAGCCTCACCTAGCTTCCTCAAGGGGCAAAGAACGTGTTGCTGTGAGAAAATAATCACTGCATGATTCTCAAATATAAGACAGTATGTCAAATCTAGGGATTAGGGTCATTAATTGGAATAAATCCTAGGAGATCATTCTTAAATTACCTCACTCAGCTGGGCTTGAGCTGCACGATATTCTTGAACCAAGTGCTCAAGCTGATTGTTGATATACTTCTCTCGGCTTCCAATCTTTTCCAGAGTTCTACTAATTTCATTGTGCAGTTTGTCTAAAAATCCCTAGAATTTCCACAAAAGTTTAGGAGATAAAAAAGTTCACAGAAACATTTTTTTCAAAAACACATTTTAAAATGGGTTACATCTCCTTCAATCCCACCCACAAATGCTTAATCACATGTGAAAATGAAAGCAGTTTGAAATTTTCAATGGGGGAGAAATATTTCAGTCACACTTTGTAGAATGTTAACATAAGAAAGCACCTGGTAGTGTTAGTCAATTAATTTGTTCGCATGCATATCTAAAATGTATTTAAGAAAAACGTGCTTCTCCCTCTCCTTAGTGCACAATCATAGTAAATATGGGCATTAACGTGACTTTCCTAGAACACAGTTCAGAGAGAGCAACTAGAAACAGATGCTTAGGTATGTAGTTCTAACTGGGACCTGTGACCCCTTTCGAGCTGTTGGGGTTTTTGAGATATCCTCTAACTGGACTCACTTATGAGAGGAAGGATAGTAATCCTGAAAGGATTGTGCTGCTATGTGCAGCTCTATCAGACTATATGAATAAGAGGGGAGAGACTAATAAAATATTTTTGTCTATATCAAATGATATTTATCTATTGAAAAGTAAGGAACTCTGGTGATCCAGTGTGTTACGTGCTGTAACTCAAAGGTCAGAGGTTCAAATCCACTAACTGCTCCTTGGCATAAAGATGGGCAATTGCTTTTCTTAAGACTTAGAGCCTCAGAAAACTGAAGAAAGTCCAGCCTGAAGGAAAGGAGCATATGTGTTTGTCTTAATTTTCTTTTTAAAAATCTGTTCCATAAGAGATTTTCTCATAATAGGTTCTGTAGAGTAGTAAATGTATACTTTTTCATCTTAAGTAATTCACAAACCTTAGTTTCTTTTAGAGCAGATTCTATTCCACTTTTGTGTTGGTGCATTTGGTCAACATGGACCCTCCAATCCTACAGGCATAAGCACATAGAAATAAAACAAAAATCAAAACACAATAGTATACTTCCTTCTTTCCTCTAGTTATGCCCTCCTTTTTTAGTTACTTCTGTGGTGCCCTAGTTCAGGTGGGAGATTCCTATATATAGCTTGGAATCTGATTATTAAGAAGTATGTGTAGAGCACTTTAGGATAAAAGGTTTTAAATAAATGTAAATTATTTTATGTGTTCACTGAATGATGTTTGACAATTTGAATATAAATTATTACTGCACTGCTGGTGGTTAATATTTATGAATACTAATCAAAATTTTTTAAAAATTCTAATTACTATAAAAGAAATACTTGTTTAAACAGTAACAATTATGCTTGCCAGAAGCAAATTTGGGCTAAAATATCATATATCAAGGATTATTTTTTACCCTTGAAAATGAAAAGGGAATCTCTTCTTCAGTAAGGTTTTTAAGTATCATCCTTAGTACAGGAAATCTATAATCAGGAGCTACAGCCTTTGGTATTGATTACATATCAACATCAAGAAAACAAAAGTCTTCACCATGGGTTCAACAGACAACATCATGACACATAGAGAAAAGATGGAAGCTGTCAATTATTTATTTCATCTTGCCTGCATCCAGAATCAACAGACTTGACATAGTAGTCAGGAGATGTATTGCATTGGACAGATCCACTGTCAAGGACCTTTCCAAAATACTTAGGAATAATGATGTCAGCGTGAAGGCTAAGGTGAGCCTGATTGAGGCCATGTTCTTTTCAATCACCTGTCGTGCATCTGAGAGCTGAATGATGAATAAAGATAACAAAAGAAGAAATGATGCATTTGATGTGTTGGAGAAGAGTACTGACAATTCCATGGATTGTCAAAAGAACAAAGAAATATGACTTGGGGAAAGTACGGCCAGAATGCTCCATGGAGGCAAAGATGGAGATGCTTCGTCTCTCATACTTTGCTCATATTGCTAAAAGATATTATTCTTTTGAAAGGGACATCATGTTTGGAAAAATGGGTCAGCATAAGTGAGGAAGACCCTGAATGACACAGACGGACACTGACTTCAGCAATGGGCTCAGGTATATCAAAGATTATGAGAATGAGACAGGATAGGACAGAATTCAGAACTGTTGTTCATAAGATCACTGTAAGTCAAAGTCAACTAGTCAGCATCTAATAGCAACAACAACATAATCATTACTAGAGTTCACACATTTTGAGACATTGTAAACTCCTACTAGATTTGTTTGAATAAATATGCATGTTTGAAGCCTAGATCAACTTTTTAATTTCCTACATGATATCTTAAAAATATTTCAATTTGTATTACTAGAGGCAACAATTTTCTAAGACATAAGAAAAACTCACTGTAAGAGAAAAAAAAAAGTTAAGTTGAAGTAAATGTTGGAAGCAGAAAATGCATCAATCACACATATCAGTTTGCATCCTTTGTTGTTTCACTTTCCTATCTCCATTATTTTGTGAAGAGTAAAATTCTTAGTGAATAGTTCCACTCTTATTTTGAGACAGGGAC